ATTTCCGAGTCATGGGATATATTTTTACATTTTCCAAAATGGCTGAACTACAATTAGCAGTGTACAGGAATTTCTGAATGGCTCACCACCTCCCCAGTACTTATATTGCCACATATACTTTTAGTCATTATAAAATGCACGCTACTTCTTAAATTTGGACTCCTGTTCATTTTCTCTAATGTGCACAAATAGGTTTGGCCTTCAGATACTTTGTTTTGTGAACATGCTAAACACACTTTTCTGTTTTTCTATACTTGGGTGGTTTAATTTTTTTCCTAATTCTTTCTAAATGCTGCATATGATCTTTTGATCAATTATTTCTGTTGCAAGCATCTTCCGTTCTATGGTTTGATTTTTTTTTTTTTCTACTCTCTTAAAAATGTCTTTCAAGCCAGGCATGGTGCACATACAAGCACTCCTAGCACTCAGGAAGTAGAGGCTAGATGATCACCAGTTGAAGCCCAGCCTGGCTTTCCTGAAACTTCCATTATAAGTCTCTGCCTCAAAAAAAAGAAAAAAAGTATATGAAACTGTCTTGATAGCAGAGGTTAATTTTAGTAATTAGTACATTACTAATTTAGTAATGTAGTTTTATTGCTACTTGATATATTTTTAAGAATTTTTGTTACTAAGGTTGTAATCATTTTTATCTTCTCAAAGCTTCATTATTTTGTCTATATGTCTGGTCTGTTTGAAGGTGCCTCATTTTGACTGTCATATTGACAGTACTACTACTATACTTAATCTAGCTTTTCAAAGTTGTATTGTGTGTGTTGTGTATATGAGGCATTGGTATGCTATAGCAAGTATATGGAAGTCAGAGGACTTTGGGGAGTCTACTCTCTCCTGGAACCTTGTTTTGAGACAGGGTCTTTCCTGTTTCTGTCATGTTGCTTACTCCAGACTAGCTTCCCAACAGTTCTGTCTCTGCCTCTTGCCTCACCATAGGTATGCTAGAATTCTAGATGTAAGCCACTGCATCTGGCTTTTTAATGTGAGTTTTGGGGAAGTTGCCAACCATGTGTAGCAAATGCTTTTACCCACTGAGCCACCTCGCTGGCCCATTTACTTCAACTTTAAAGAGTTTAGTAAACTTTTTTTTTTTTCCGAGACAGGGTTTCTCTGTGTACCCCTGGCTGTCCTGGAACTCACTCTGTAGACCAGGCTGGCCTTGAACTCAGAAATCCGCCTGCCTCTGCCTCCCGAGTGCTGGGATTAAAGGCGTGCGCCACCACTGCCTGGCGAGTTTAGTAAACTTTAAAGAGGTTTAAAGAGTCATCTTCTTCAGTTTTTACTACTTGTGACTCATTGTCATACAAAGTATGAAGTCACCTTCACAAAACCCTGGGGTTTTTGTGTGTTTGTTTTTGGAGATTGCATTGTGTAAATTGCTTTTTAGAGATTTGATGTTTCAACAGTATTGATTTTTCCACCCATGAACATAATCTCTCAATATATATCATGATCTCTCTTAAGTGTTTTATTATTTTATATGTTGAGATCTTATCCTTAAGTTTAGTTATTATCATGTAACATTTTAAAATATAGTATCAATGTTATTTTAAAGGTTTATTTTGTTGCTTGTTACATAAAATATCCAATTTATGTTGTGTTTTTATTTTACATGTTGTGACTTTGCTAAAGTCACCTTTTCTAATAACTGTTCTGAGTACTCCTCTGAGTTTTCTAGCTGTATCATTTTAAAATAGAGTTTTAGTTGTCCTTTTATAGTCCTTGAACCTCCTGTTTTTCTAAAGAAGCTAGAACCTTCTGTACAGTATTTAATGCATCAAGGGTTTTTGCTGTTGTTTATGTGTAAAATCGCCCTATAATTATCTTCCTTTAAATGACCTTGTTAGTGTTTTGCTCATCTGTGTAAAAACAACGTAAGCCATGCATGGTGGCACATGCCTTCAATCCTTTAGAATTGGGGAGGCAGAGGCAGGTAGATCTCTGTAAGTTTGAGCCAGCCTTGTTTATATAATAAGTTCCAGGCTAACCAGGGCTACATAGTCAGAACCTTCCAAACAAAGCAACAAACAAACCAATAAATTGGGAGTAGTCCTTTTGAATTCTGTGGGGACAGCATCTGTTAGAGCTCTCGTACTCTACGGTGTGTGCATAACTAATGCCTTGGTGCTGACTACAGCTTTGTCTGCATCTTCTCTGCTGCTGCTGCTTGTTTACTTCAGATCTTTTCAAGCCACTAAGAAATGGCTATAGATACACATTGGAAATGCTATAATCTTCCTAATTTTGACTTTAGTCACTGAGAAATATACTTCTATTATAATGGCACTTCTCACTTTATGCTATGCTTTTAATGTTTAGTTTTTTGAGATAAGATCTCTCTGTGTAGTCCTGGCTGTCCTGGAACTCACTGTATAGACCAGACTGGCCTGGCATCAAAATCACAGAGATTCTTCTGCCTCTGCCTTCCAAGTGTTGGAGTGCTGAGATTAAGGAGTACATGCCTACAGCTTTTCATTAATTTCTTTTAACTTTGTTTCTGTTTGAGATATACTATCAATCTGTAAACTTGGCCTGGAACTCTTAGTCTAGGATAGCTTCAGACTCGGCCTCACAGGTACTAGGGTTACAGACGAGCCAGCACGCCAGCTGCTTTCAATCATTGTGAATAATATTTTCTACATAGCCCTTACATATTATGTTTCTGATACGTCTCCAATTTTAGCAGGAGCATTTGATGTATCTATATACATTTCGTTGATACTATATTTTGATTTTTAAGATTTAAAAAAAATGTGTATGAGTATTTTGCCTGCATGTACATCTGTGTACCACAAGGCATGGCTGGTATAGGTGGAGGCCAGAAAAAGGTATCTGATGCCCTAAAATTGGAGTTACGGTGGTTGTAAGCCACCATGTAGATTCTGGAACTGAACCTAAGTCTTTTGCCAAAGCAGTCAGTGTTCATTTATATTTTAAATCTGTTTTACTGTACAGGTTTTGTACCTGCCTTTTCCTTTCTGGCTACCTTTGTTTTTTTGTTTTTTGTTTGTTTTGCCTCTCCCTTGATAGTAACTCATTTTTTATTCTGTTAGAGGTCTTAGATTCCTTTAGTCTGAGGGTCACATCATTAACCCTTTCAATGCCCATTAACTGGTACTTTTTATCTTTTTTTCCTAGATAATGTGCAAGGACTTTAATATGCTAGTCATTGTCTTACTTCATTGCTATTAGCAGATTTTTTTTTTTTAGCTATTTGTAGATTTTAAATACAAAACATCTTATATTATAATGTACATGGTCATTGTGTGTTTTCATTCCTGCATCTCTAACTGTTGTTCTTGGGTATTTCTTTCTTGCCGGAGAATATCATATTCTCATATCAATGTCTACTGTCTCTTTGCCTCATATTCACCTAGTGTTTAAACATCCAGTGGATCAGTTTTTACTGTTTTTTTTCTCTTTTCCCATTGTTTATTTAATTTTCCTTTTGCATTTGTTTCTCCTGGCTTGATTCTGGATTTTCTTCAGATTTAACTTCCATTTTGTTTAGTGAAATTATGTTTTCCCACCTGCTTGAACAGGTTATTTTTAAGTTTTTCTGATAGCCACAGTCTTTGAAGAGTTTTGTTTTCTGTGTTTTTACCAGTTTTCATTTGCATTGTCTTATCTTTTTAATTCCTGGTTACTTTTGATTTGAAAATGATTTGTAGAAAGTATTTTGAGGCCTGGGATGACATTGCTTACCTATTTTCCTGACAGATCCCTAGGCACTAACATTTGTATCATTTTAATCCAGTCTTAGAAGCTTAACATTTGTATACCAAATACATACACGGACACACACACACACACACACACACACCCTTCAGGTGACTTGAAGCTAGGCCACTCCATCTGTTAAGAACTGTGGTAATTTCAGTTTACCTTTCTGTCTAGAATCCAAACATTTGAGATCCCAGTGTTAAGCATGAAGGTTCTGTGGGGCAGGAACTCATCCTTTTATTCTGTTCTTTAGGGGTTGACAAGTTTTTTTCTCAGAAGGGTCATAGAGTAACTATTTTAAATGCTGTAAGCCATCAAACCTATTCACAGTCACCCCTGCCACTGTTGAACTAAACAGCCATAGATAATTCATTAATAATAATGAATTTATTCTAATAAAGATTTATAAAGTGTATACAGGCTAGATGTAGCTCCAAACTGTTACTGTCAACTATAGTGTGTGCAAAGCGCTGCTCAGACTCTGCCACCTCTTCTGAAATTGCAAATCAGCAGTAACTGCTGGGCTCGCCTTTCCTGTCCCTTCACTATCCAGAATCTACAAGTCTGTGGTCATTTTTATATTGATCTACTTGTTCCTGGCAGAAAATGTAATCTCTTGAACTTAGTTGGCTGTTACCAGAAACTAAAGTTATAAGTAAGGAAACCAGTTTAAAACTATAGTGAGGTGGGTTTTTTTTTTCCCTTCCTCATTTCAAGAATAGAAAGTTCTTGAGAAAGCATATTACAATAGCAATCTCTCATATGACTTTTTTTTCCTCCAAAACTTAAGTTTCAGGGCATGTTTCTTTGATCTTCCCAGAGAGATTGTCCTGACAAGGTTGGAACTGTTAAGCACTGTCAGAACTTTCAAGTATAATGTTGAAAATAATGTGTACCTTCAGTGTTAGTGTGGTGGCCACTATCTGCCTCTGGCTCTTGAGCACCTGAAATTTGGCTCCTGTGATCACAGAATTCAGTTTGAATTGGCTTGAAGCTATTTAGTATACAGCTTAGATTAAAAGAAGATTCTCATCTCAGCACAGTGGTTCTTAGTACCCAGAGCTAGAATGTATGTCCATTTTTTTTAGTGTTCTTGATAGAATTCTTTTAACCTAATTTGTTGGATTTTTGATATCTTGCTAAATATCCTATGCCTGTTGAGTCCTATCATTCTCATGACATGGTGGAAGGACACTTGTTATCCAAAGTGATCAACATCAAACTGACAGTCTTGGTTTACTTCCTAAAATGAATGCTCTCTGCAGGGAAAGGGGCGTATCCATCGAGGAAACTATCCAAGTCCATCCTCCCCTGTTATAGTCCGATTGCCTTCCATGTCCGATGTCCCAGAAGAGACCCTGACTAGTGACACAGCCATGGAAACTGACATCACAGACCAGCAGCAAGCGGCAATGCAGCAGGAGGAAAAAGTGCTGACTGAGCAGATTGAGAACCTACAGAAAGAAAAGTAAGTGCCCAGAGAGGATGCCAGTTGTGTTTCCTTCCTTCTACCCTTTATTTTTCCTTCTTCATTAAATATCTCATGTGTCAAGCACTATGTCAGATGCCCCAGGGGATGTGGAATTGACAGAGACTTGTTGCCTATACTAAGGGTAAGTGTGGAAGTTTTCACCTCCAGGAAGGAAATTCCATGGCATAGGAATCTTGGTGCTAAGCAGTAGTAGAATAAGGAGGGCACACATATATAGGGTCTGCCATCTTAGTCTAGATTCATCAGGCAATGGACAGTGGAGAGCCTGGATGAGGTATTATAGTCCTGACAGGTCAGAGACCAGCTTCCATAAACAGATGGGTTTTGCAAAAAGAAGAGTAAGAGTCCCTTGACTAAGTAAGACAAAGTCCTCTTCAAGCATAGGCGTTAGTTGCAGTTTCATGAATGAATGTTACTGTTTAAAAATCAGTATGACCATGGGCCCAACAACTAGATAGAACAAGGCAGCCCCTATAGTACTGGGTTATATGGGGTACTGGGTAGAGAAACCTATTATGATTTAAAAGAGAAAGCTAAGAAATTCTGTTATCGCCATCATCACTCTGGCAGGAGGGGGTTGACACTACCCCTTAGGAATATGAATATCCATGGTTCTCCCTGAAGGTACGATATACCAGTTCTCATTGACATTGATCACTCTTTAAGAATTCCTAAAGGTTTCCTTGAGTCCCTGGAGCTCATCTCTTAAGTCTGAGAACTTGATTTATGAAGAATCGAGAAACTTTAGTATCAGGATTGTTTCTGTAACTTAGGGCAACTGAGAAGCAGCTAAGCCTCAGCTGTGGAAAAGTGAGGCAGTAGTTACTAGCCAGGTCTTAAAAGATGGCCTGCCCTCAGCCCTGATGAACATGAGATTGAAGATACAGAGGGATAAAAAGGAAATTGTTAGGGAAGAGAAAGTGCAGAAGTGTAAGCATAAGTTTCAAGGATGTGACTGCTTTTGGAAAGAATGAGCTACTGAGAAGGCTGTCCTTGAAAAGATGATCTGCAGATTTCAGGCTATTTAAAGAGGAGAAATAATTAGATCCAGAGCTGGCTTATTTATAGGAATTGACAAGCTATATGATCGTTCATTGGAGGAAGTTCATTGTGTAGAGGAAAACTGTTGGAGACATAAAGCTATTTTGGTACTAGGATTTTGAAGTGAGTTTTTTTGTTTTTTAAAGGTACTAACAGAAATTGATCAAACTGTGGCCAGGGCCCTAGTTAAGAAAATAAGGTTAAAAGCCAAATCTCAGTAACTGTAAAATATGAAGGGACATTACTGAGACAGGTAGGTGATCCTGAAAAATTAGAATGTACTGTAGCCAGAGATAATGCAAACTTGTCAGAAAATCTCAGTGTTTTACTTATCCAAAAGCTTTGATATGGTCAAAGTAGAAGATAAAGTCTGTGTTTAGTTAGTAAAGCTGCATCTGAAAATAGTGCTTAAGAGCCAAAAAGAAATTTGGAGACAATCTAGTTTGTTTTCTGGATGAGGAAGCTGGAGTCCAGAAATGAGTGAATTTGGAATCTTGAACTCAGTCCAGAGTTCTCTCAGCAGTTGTAACAACCTGTGTCAACCTGCCCACCCCAGCCTCACAGATTTGTTACCACCTTGTACTTTCATGCATTCCTATTACTTTACCTGTAAATAAATCCTCTTCATCATCACCGTGGTGGGACAGGAAGAATGCCTTTGCTGTTTAGCTTTGCTGTTTACTTTCATAGAATGCCTTCTGGTCGTCTTTCTCCTATTATATTAATGGATTTGCTGATTGTGTTTCATAGGGAAGAACTAACATTTGAGATGCTTGTATTGGAACCTCGTGCCTCTGATGATGAAACCCTTGAGTCTGAGGCTTCTATTGGGACTGCTGATAGCTCGGAAAATTTGAATATGGATTCTGAAGGTACCGTTTTTGAGATATCGAATAAATGGATATATTAAACTAGAGATACAATTTGTTTTGTAAAGAAGGAATAAGATGGTTAGGAACACTTACTGGAGTTCTAAGCTGGGTTCAGTTTCCAGTACCTACATGGTGGGTCATAATGATCTGCAACTCCAGTCCCAGGGAATCTGATGCCCCTTGCAGGCCTCTCTGAGGGCACCAGACATGCTCTTGTTGTACGTACACACATGCAAAGCACCCACACACGTAAAAAATACATAATTTTATTTTTAATGTTTTTTTAAAAAAAGCTTTCTCAGGTTTGGTCTGGTAGTGCATACCTTTAATCCCAGACTCAGGAGACAGACAGATCTAAATTGAGGCCAGCTCCAAGATAGCTTTTAAAATAATGATTCTATACAAAATAGATTAACTAGACCCTCAGGACTTTTTACCCATTCAGTTTCACATGTGAACAGTAGCTTCTATTCATCACATGATGTTGCATAGGTGGACACTATCATGTACAACTTTATTTTCTGTTTTTAGAGAGAAGTTTTGCACTTAGCTCCCTGAAAGCAGCTGGCAAGTCTGAGCCTTCAAGCAAGTTGCGAAAGCAGCTAAGAAAGCAGCCAGACTCTTTGGACTCAGTCAGCTCCTCCATTTCTCCATGTCTGTCAAACACTACATCATCTCATGGCACTAGAAAGCGATTTCAGATTTATTCCAAGTCTCCATTTTACCGAGCTGCCTCAGCTTGTGAGGCCCAGGGAACGGAAGGACCACTAGGCCAAGCCAAATCCCTAGAAGACAGGCCTCAGTTCATCAGCAGAGGAACCTTCAACCCTGAAAAGGGCAAACAAAAACTAAAGAATGTGAAAAACTCACCTCAGAAAACCAAAGAGACCCCAGAGGGGACAGTCACATCTGGCCGAAAGAAAACTGTGGACTCAGACTGCAGCTCCACACAGCAACTACCACTGTTTGGAAATAATGAGTTTATGGTCTAAACGGACAGATGTGTCCCCACATCTCATCTTCGGGGCCTCTTCTGGTCACCTTGTTTGTAACAGTCAGTCCTAATGGTCCTGCCTTGTTTCAGCAGACAGTTTGTGTGCTGGATCACTGGGCTTCTGGCAGAAGTGGCCTCTTAGAGTTTGCTAGGGATGGGCCAGCTGTGCCTTGGCTGCTGTATTTGATTTGAGATTCCACTAAACAAAGCCCCCTGGGACCTGGGGTATTTTGGCCAACAGTAGTTGCCTCTTGCCCACCTTCCTTTTCCTTCCCACAGATAGTTGTTGAACTAGGGGGCTATTGTGATCCTGAGGGATGCTGTCATTTATAGCATTTTAAAAAAAACATACAAATCTCTGTTAACCATGAAGGCAAAAGCTTTCGAGTTTGTATTGGAATAGTTAGGAACTGGGATAGAATATAAAGATTTCCCCAAGGATTTATAAGCAAAATGCCTAAGCCCTCTATTTTAAATTTAAGTACAAAATACTCGGTTATATTTTGGAAACATGAACTGATTTCCATTAAGCCCAGAGTGTCTCAGCTATCTGGTCACATTGTGAAGAGGCCATGCGTTGTCTCTTGTTGATATTTGGTATTATAATCAGTGCTGGTTTAACTCCTGGTTAGTTCCTGCCAAATATATTTCCTGGGATAAGGTTCAGGTAGCCATACTGTACTAGTATGCCCTGATTGTTAGATCAGACTCCCCTAGGTTTTTGTTTGTTTATAATATGTCACAGACACATTTAGTTCCTAAATGTGAAGGCATCATCCTGATTGATCCAGGCTTTTCTTTTTGTATAGACTTAAACTGAAGACTGTATCCGAGCCTGTTCATCTGCTGGTGGAGTACCACCATAGATGTGACCATGTCATCACTTCTCTACGAGTACTCACATACAACTTTGCATGAGTGTTATAGAAAAAGCTGCCAAAAGAAGCTTAGAAAGTTTTAATATGATCTATTTAATTTTTGTCTTCTTTTTCTCAGACCATCAGTATTAGATAAAAAAAAAAATATCAAGGACTACTTGAAGCTATTTTTGTTAATGTTCTTGTTCCTGAAGTTTACTGTAAATACACATGTATAGTATGCCTAGTTCTTTTTAACCTTGTGCTCCCCTTATTCCCGTGGAGTTTCTTCCTACAGATAAGAGGCCATTAGACAGGTGGTGAGAGCCACTTACCCCTGGGGTGAGGGAGAAGTAAGGCATCTTTTCATCACTGGTAGTTTCCATAAGTTATAATGTCGGAAGCATCATGTACTAGCAATTGTGGGAATAGAACTCTGTTTTTGCTATTTATAATGTTATGTGAAGTGAGACATGATACCATTTCTTAAGTATGTGAAATGTTTATTTTTAAAGTCACTAAATACATTTTGTCTAACTACCACATGCACTGTTACAAAAAGAGCTTTTTACCATCTATAACCTGAATTTTAGTTTTCTTCTTCTTCTTTTTTTTTTTTTTTTTGGTTTGAAGTTATGAGAATAGAAGTCTTTTGTTAAGGCAAGGTCTCTCCTCCTACACAACACTGCACCTCATGCCACTGTTGCAGTGGTCATTGGCCGGCTCTGCAGATGAGGAGACTTGTAGCAGTATTTTGCACAGCAGCTCATGGTGGCTGGAGTCTTCCCTCTCCCTGGTATGTGTTCAGCGTTGAGACACATGAAGGAAGCTTTGAAAACCTCCCCAATGATGACGGTCATTCAGTAAAGGTTAACTTTTATATCCCTCAAGCATTAACAAGAAGTTTGGGAACTGTTGTAAAGGAAGCCAGCGTGGCTGTGATACGGTGGGTGCTGCTTTGGGCCTTTACGGCTACACAGTCTGTTTTATGATTTGGGGAAAGTAGCTGCTACTGGGTGGTAACTGTTGCTCTCCACTTGGCTCAGAACAGGTTCCTTTGTTTCAGAGGAATGTCCTGGAACCCAGCACTTGACACACATTCTCCCACCTAAAGTTTTACGCTCTTTTTTTTTTTTTTTTAATTTCTATAAAGTAAATTTGGGGCTGAAGAAAAAAAAAACTACCTACATAGGTCACTTTGTAGGAACTAGGTAATCAATATTAAAGACTTTATAATTTTTCTCAGGGACCTAAAACCTGAATTTGAATAAAATTAAATAAAAACTTTTTTTTTCAGTTGCTAGATTTGTGGATTTTTTAAAATCATTTAACAAGCCGTCAGGATGGGGTGGGGGAAATCCACACAGTCGTAAGACTGTCTCGGCAAAGTGTAGGTACTATTGGTCTGATAGAGACGAAGCCATAACTCAGTAGTGTCAGGTGTTCTGCTCCATTGGTTCTTATCAGAGCCTCTAAGTCACCACATAGCAACACTGCAGTCACTCATGATACAGAGCCACATCCGGCTCACTATTAAGGCTGTCTGGCTGCCTTTCTTCAATCTTAAAATGCACCAAAAGACACTCTGTGGCAGCAGCAGAATGCTCACCTGTGGAACCTGTGCTACGAACTTCAGAGCATTCTAGTTACAGCACATACTTCTAGTCCACAGTAACTCCTACATTGTTTTTCTTACCCATTTAATGTGTCTGTAGCTGTGTATCATAGAAAATGTAGCAGAAGCAATACATTTTGCACCACAGATTGAAGCAAATTACAGCAAATGCAGGCAGGATTCAGGGAGGTGACGTGCTTAGTTTGCACATATTTGTACTTCCTGCCATTTCCATTGTCTGACCATTCTGGGTCATAGACACAAATGGAGATGTGAGTGTTGCTAAGAGAGACAAACGGATGTGAGTTCAGGGCACAGGTCACTAGGGCCAACTCTCAGGCTTTGGAAACCTGTCACTCTTACCTTGCATAGAGTGTGAAGGCTATTCTGTGTCTCTCAGGCAGAGACAGTGCCACAGAAGTGTGCTGACATGAGGTGACACATCAAGGTTGTATTGTCCCACCTTTATGCCTGTGAGGTGTGTTTTAAACTGTAACTAATAAGCTAGAGTGTAGGAAGGATTCTCAGGTGTGTGAAGTTGAGAGTTTTAACTAGAGAAAGAAGTTGTCCAAATTTTTGGTGGGGAAATAGATGTGGACCCTGCATTCTTCTATGTTGAATGGTGTGTTATATGCACCCACACACTTGTGATAACTTCCCAGCACTGTGCCCCAACACCATGCTGGCCTTAGTAGTAAAACTTTTAGATATTTGTAGAAGACCTGACTTTGTGTATCCCTAGGAGACCACATTTCTCTGGAACATTCTCACACTTTCGGTGTTAAGTGGGTAATCTCCAGTGTATTAGATCTTACTGATCTCCTGGCTTAAACTTCAAAAAAAGCCCTAGCAATGGGTTGGTCACCTTGTCACCCATCCACTCTTAATGCCTATTTATCAGCCTTCTTAGGTCACAGAAGAGTTGCACCTCTTGAACCAAGTATTTGTATTCACTACGGGAAAGGTGTGGACTACAGATTAGTATTATATTATTTTAATGGATTCAAAGTAATTTATAAGTATGGTGAGTGTAAAATTCTGAAATACTGTGTATTATAAAAGGACACATCCTGTGAAGTATGCCAGTTTACTGTTTAAGAGTTCTATAAGAATGACTTATTCACAGAACTGACTACATTCCTAATGAAATCAGCAGCACTTTGTAATTTCATTTTTTTTTTTTGAAGGGGGCAAAACATTTGTATAAAGTGCAGTTTGCGTCACTTGGAGTATGCACTGTATAGCTACACAAAAGCAGCCTGCTGAACAAATCACTCCACGGCTCATTAAAGAACAAAGCTTCCAGAAGTCCAATATGTGTGGTTTTGTTTTCTGGCTTCCAATCAGACTCATAACCCAAAGGAACACCACTGATTTCTCATACTAATAAGATTAAAGGAAAGGATCCAATTCCCAGCTGATACATGCAGAAGTGTCAGCTGTTAGAACTCAACTGAAGAAGAGAAAGCCAAGGTCAAGACATTTTAGGGGGAATAGCAAGACGGAGAACTAGAGGCACTTTGCAACAACCTCCTGTGAAGAAAAAAACCCAAACAAATGTATAGTTGAATTTTCAGGTGAGGGATAGTTGAGAGAAGGACATCAGAAACTTGTAAAATTCAGAGGCTTGGGACAAAGTTAGAGTAAAAACAAATTATTCTGATACCTGCAAGACCCCGCCTCATTCACAACAGAGAAGGAAAACTGCCCCTCTATAGAGATGCAGGAGAAAAAGTCTCAGGTCACACAGCCAGTGTGGATGCTGGCAATCCCAGCTGTTGGGAATGGTTCACAACGCACCCCTGCTTAGATAGCTAACCTAAAGTCTGCACAATAGCCTTGCTTTGAAAACAATTCTTACATCATCTTCCTGTGAGCCCTCAATGCTGTAGCTAGGAGCTACCTAAGAAGAGGACTTCTGTTTTAATCTGGATGGCTCCAGGGGTCAGAAAACCCTACATGTTCCTCTCTCTGAGAACCCATAGATGTATTGTGCTAGCTCATTCACTGGCTGCCTTGTAATCCAAACTTTGCCCAAGAAGTACCTCTGAGTCAAATGCACTGCTGAGTACATGGTACAATGGGGCTGGGAGTAGAGGGTGTTGCCTACAGCGTCACTCATGACTGTTTTCCAGGATTGGGGAGGGAGCATATTGCTCTGTCTGAACATGGCTAGGCAGACAGTCCCCCTTAGTGGTGGTTGGCCTGAGTTCTAGAGGTTCACAAGCTAGGCTTCTAGATCCAGACACTTAGCTCTCTAAGCCTTGAGAACTACTAGGCGCTTATGGTTCTAAACCGTCAAAGCTTTGGCTGCTCAAGGCAGAAGCTTACTACCCTGGGCTGATGAGAAGCAACACCTAGCGGCTGGAATTGTAACGTAGCTCTCTAGTGGTGTTGGAACCCTTGACTCTTGAACCCTTCTCAGCTCTCTCCAGAGTCTTCTAGCCAGTAGGATGTGACGTCCTTGTAGACTCAGCTCTCATGTTAAGCGTCTTCATCCAAGCCACAGCTTCTCCACTTTCAGGACCTCCACCGTATTTTATAGTTAGGTTCTTAGTCTCTGGAATTCTTAGGCAACTATTGAGATCATAGCTCTGGGTTTTCTGAGGGTATTGCAGCCTTCGGAACTCTAGAACTCTTCACCTGCCTTCTCACTGTACCACCCAGCTATAATTTTTCACACCACATGTAGGCAAAAGACCATTCACAAGATACTTTTATTAGGTGCTAATAGTGCAATTCCTAATAGGTAGAAGGAACTTCCCAGGTTAGCCCAAGGAGTGGAGAATAGCCTGCTTTAACAGCAAGAAGAAGATTGTGGCATGCTTATGCACAGATTTTAGTTTTACCAGGCACAGCTATGCATATGATTCTGGCTCTACCAGTCACAAGCCTCACTGCACTAATGTTTTTGCTGGGTCACTGGAGTTCTTAGTCATGTCTTCCCATCTCTGCGCTGAGCTTTCTGAGAGAATCAGAGCCCTCAGCTCCCGGCGACTCCCAGCCACCTCCTCCATTCCTGAGTGAGACTAGCTGCAAGGTAAGCTGGATAATGTAAAGCTCGCAAAGGCATGTTTTGCCTAGAGTGGCATCTTCTACAGTTGGGGAATGTTGCCTAGAGCCAGGCTTCCTGACTCAAGAGTGATGAATTCCATAGTGGTGTGGTTACAGTTGTCCTAGCAACTGCAGTGACTTCCCTCAAAGTGGTCAAAGCAGACAGACTGCCTGGTTTACCAAAGAAAGGGCTGCGCCTAGTTGCTTTGTGGGTAAAGACACTTGCAGCCAAGGCTAATGGACTAGCTCTTCTAGGACGCATAAGGTGGAAAGAAAGAACTGACTCCCACAAGTTGTCCTCTGATCTCCACAAGCACACTGACATGTACACCCATATATATATACAAACATGCAAGTCAATAAATGAGGATCGTAGCTCTAGTAATAAATCCCAAAGAAACAGGAATAGATGGAATTATGTTTTAAAGCTCAGTAAAATTGAAAAGAATACAAACATTTAGATAATCACAGATGACAAGGTAGGATATGAATGAGATATTCGGAAAAGAAAAAAATAAAATATATATCTTAGGAATAAGGGATCCATAATATATCAACTAAAATTTTTGGTTGAGAGCAACAATAGACTAGATTGGGTGGAAGAAAAATGTTTATGTTTGAAGACAAGTATTCTTAACTCACTTTAGGGGAAAAAATGAGGAGAGCACACAAATTTGTGGCATACTATTAAATCATCACATGTTCATGAATTACCCAAAGGCAAAGAGACAAAGATTTGCAGTATGGAAAAACTCTCAAGGGCAATAATAGTGGACAGCTTTCCTAATCATGGACAAGACATGGACATCCATATGCAAGGAGTTTACAGACAACCAGAAAAGACCATCACCAAAGAAAAAATGCACAAGACATCTACGTGAAACCTTACTACGCTTACAGTAGATTTTCCAGAACAAACCCTATAGGATACCAGGAAATGAAATGCCACTCTTCATGTTCTGAAAGAAAATTACTTCCAATCAAGATTATTATACCTAGCAAGGCTATCCTTCAGAAGTAAAGATCTTCGGAGTTGAGGAGCTGGGGAAATTCATGACTGCAAGACTTAAGCAGGTACTGCATCTAGAAAGGAAGGGAACTGCCACCACAACAGCATGTGAAAGTGTGAGTTCCACTGGAAGAATAAACACAAAAATAGAATCAGACTATCAAATACAGCAAACAAACTGCAAAGATGGATAGGACGAGGAAAAGTAATGCTCTGAATAACTAGAAAAATCAAGACAGGCATAAGTGCCTACATTTCTATAATAATCTTGAATATAAATGGACCAAATTATTCAATCAAAAGCTATAGACTGACCAGATGGATTTTTTTAAAAGCCAGATGTTATGGTACACACCTTTAATCGCAGCACTCATCTGTCTGCAGCAAAAGGATCACCACGACTTTAAGGCTAGCCTTGGCTACATAGTGGATACCAGACCATGCAAGATCTTGTCTCAAAATAAGAATAAAAAATATACTGTGTATAAGAAACTTAATTCATCAGTAAAGTCACTGGAAATATCCTGGAAATGAAAGGCTGGAAAATAATATTTCAAGCAAAAGGGATCCTAAAGTAAGCAGTAGTTGTTGTACTTTTATCTGAGAAACTAGACTAAGGGAGGAAGATGTCAAAAGAGACAAAGGAGGTCGCTAAATATGGACTAAAGGATCAGTTCGTCCAAGTAGAGAAAGAAAAATGGCTGGGACTTGCTGGCTGCCAGCCTAGCCAAAAAATAAAAGCTGTAGGCTCAAGAGATTCAAAGAACAGTGCAGAAAATAACAGAAGACACCTGATGGCCTCCTCTGGTCATCAAATGTTTACAAGTGCACGCCACCAGCACATACACACACATACAATGTATACACTCATATCACACACAGAGACACAGGGTCATCAGAGGGGCTGACAGTAGTCATTTGCTGCCAACCCTGATGACTTGAGTTCAATCCCCAGGATCTAGACAGGATCTTCATAGTGAAGGAGAGAACCAACTCATGTAGGCTGTCCTCTGACCTCCACGCACTCACTGTGGCACACACGCACAAATAAAATGTAATATAAAATAAAGATGTTAGAGTATATGATTGTGAATACATGCACATAACGCTAGGGCTAAGTTTAGAAAATAAACACTGGAGAGGTAGAGAGGAAGTTCAATAATACTCTACTTTCATCAACAGACAGGCCATCTAGACAAGAAAAAACAAGCAACGTCTGAGTCAAACTATTCTGTACATGAGATGGACCTCACAGACATGTGTAGAACGTTCCATATAGAAGCTGCAGAATGTACATTCTCAGTGCATAAAATATTCTTTTGGATATTCCAAATGTTAAAGGCAATAGAACAAATCCTAACAAATCACAAAAATTGAAGTATCTGTTTTTTTGATCACAATAGAATGGCACTACCATTCAATGAGAGAAACTTCAGAAACTATGCAAGTTCATGGAGACAAAACAGTATGTCACTGAGGAAGTTAGAAAAAAAGTTTAAATTTCTGGAAACACATGGACAGAAGTGGGAATACAGCACGCCAGAGCCTGTGGTGTGGCAGCACACACAGCTGTAGAAGTGAAAAGTGTCTAAGGGTAAATTCGCATCTTTAAAAAGAACAGAGGAAAGGTTTTTGAACAACCTAGTAATGATGCATTGCAGAGACTCACAGAAGCTAAGACTAACCCAAAATTAATAGGAGAAAGGTAGTAAAGGTCAGAATGGAGCCAAGCACAGTAGCACATGCCTTTAGTCCCAGCACTCAGGAGGCAGAGGCAGGCAGATCTGCGTGAGTTCAGGGCCAACTAGCTCTACAAATCAAGTTCCAGGACAGCCAGGGCCACATAGAGAAAACCTGTCTCAGAAGAAGAAAAAAAAACCCAAGTGGAAATAAAATATAGACTGAAAAGATATTATCAAAGATGAATAAGTCAAGGAGTCGTTGTGTTAGAAAGATAAACAAAACAGAATTGACAAACTTTTAGCTTAACTAATCAAGAGGGAAAAAGAGAAGACTAGAGACATTGCAATGGCAAGTAATACCACCGACCTACAAAGAATTACCAGGGATTGTTTTGAAGAGTTTATATGCTGTAGAAATGGAAAATCTATAAGAAATGAACAAATATCTGGACACATATGACCTATCAAAACTGAACCAAGAGGTTCTGAACTTGACAGACTTATAACTGATGATGAGCTTGAATCAACATTGAAACCCTTTTCCAAGAAAGAAAATTACAGAACTG